CCTTGGACTATTTGGCACACACTTGTCTTCTCCCTGGTCACCAGGTTTGAACTGAGCTGCAGTGGGACAGTTGTATGCACACTCAAAATGTACCTGATTTACTCCAGTAGTTCAGAAAGTGTGGTTCCTGAAACAGCAGCATCAGCATCACCAGGAACTTTATAAGTATCTGGGCCCCAGCGCAGACCTATGGAATCAGAAACCTTGAGATGGAGCCTAGGGATTTGTTTCAACAAGCCTTCCAGGTGCTCTTGATGTGGGTGAAGTGTGGGCACCATTGGCTTACCCTATGCCACCCATCTCTGCTTTTCTGCCTCGGACTTCAGATTACTCTTAACCCTACATCAGCCTTTACTTTGTCACTACAGGAACACTCATCCTTAAAGGGTAGTAAGACTTGGTCAGCAGCTCAACACACTACAGAGAGCTCCTTGGGAGGTAAGGAGGGTGGATAAATGCCCAGCTTCTCTGAACTTTGTAAGGAGAAGAAAGCAATTCTAGTAGGTGTTCTACAAGGTTCCTTACTGTTCCTCAGTAGAGTCGGGACCCAGTTCCCCACAGTAGTAGCCTGCTTCCTCAGTCCTGAATCCTCTATTCTTTTTCTCCTCCTTGCTTCACTCTTCTCAAACCCCTTGCTGCTATTGCCTGAGATCAACCTTCAAGTCAGCAAGCTCACCAAATCCAAGTCCTAGTCTTGCCCTTAATAGCATCTCTAAGTCTCTCCCTCTGTCTCTTCCACTGCCATGGTGTCTCTGAAGCCTCCGCATCCCTGAGTGTTTGAGTGACCAGTATCTGCTGTGCTCGGCCAGGAGCACTGATGAACTTTACTAATGATCTGGAAACATGGACCCCAAGCCCAAGTTAATTTTAGCTCCTTTTTAAAATACACTTAAGGGGAAGGAGCCAAGAGTCTATTCTGAAGCCTTCACAGAGTCATCACCCCCACCCCCACAAGGTTGTTCTACTCCTCCATTCAGATGGGGGCTTCTGGGAGTGGTAGACACAATCCCCCGAGTTCCTCAGAGTAGTGCCACCTCCTCCTCAGACTACCTTTCAGACAAAAACTCCCCAAAGATCAGGTCCCCTACAATGCCAGCCCTAAGTTCCCAGACCAGTCCCATAGATCACTGCCCCCTACCCCCTTCTTGCCACACCATCTGCTAGGATGTGTGGGGTGTCCCCATTCCTCAATGGAGGCAGACACCACTTAGGGGAGGCACTTGGTGGCACAATTCCAGCAGAGACTTCTTTGGGGCACTAGACTTGAAAGGACAGTAGACAACCCGTTTGGGGTAAATTTGGCCAGCCCTCTACCTCTGTCTCATCTCCTATTTTCTGCCTCCGCCCTGGTGTCAAGTGTGTTTTGAAGTCTAGCCCTAATCCTGACAGGCAAAGGGTCCTTTCTCCTAAGTCGAAGCAAGAAAACTTGGGAAGGGGTAGATCTTCCCTCACTGACTTGAAAGAGTAGGCTTGATAGGACTCAGAAAGACCTACCCTTCAGAAAGGACACCCCAAGGAGGTGTTCATCTCACAAAGGGCAGGAGGAGGCAGGGTGGAGGTGATGGTCCTGGGGTGAAGGATCTTGGATAGAAAGTCAATTTGTGGCTGTAAGTGGATGGAAGACACACACATTCCCATTGTCATAGCCGTCAGTCCAGAGATAGCAAATGTGTGTGTGTGTGTGTGTGTCTGTCTGTCCTTGTCTACCTCTGACTTGCCCTTGTCTCTTGTCTCTCTTTCTAAGTCTCTTTCTGTCTCTGGATCTGGATATGTGCATTTCTCTCTATCCCTCGGTCAAAATCCATCCATCCATCTCTCTATCTCTGTCATTGTCTCTTTCTCTTTGTCTCTCTGTGTCCAGGGATTCCCGTTCCCAGAACCACTAGGGCGACTCCCAGGAGGTGGAACCAGGGACGCGCCTTGGAGAAGGGGTGGTGGAGAGATTGCCTACGCCTTTAAGTGTGGGTGCGCGCGGAGCCTGCGCCTTTAAGCGC